CCCCCCCCCCCCAGACTTAACAGACTGTTGGGGCAAGTGCCGTTAGCGAGTATTAACTTTCGTCTCCCCAGCTGCGATGCTTACACACCGCATCAGGTACACATTTGAGGCTGAGTCGACCTAGGGGAGGCCCAAGACCGATTCAGATAGTCGTCACCGGCGTTGGTTGTGAGCAGGAATCGAACTCGGTTCGTAGCGCGGCGCGCAAGCCGCTACACTACCGCTCCCCCAGCACACGCGCGCGTCACGTGCCATGAAAGCGCATTTGCGGACGTACAAGATCAATGCGACCCCGTATCCCGGTGCTCGAGCCTTTCACTGCGCCCTTCGTTATCGCTTTGCCGAGGAGCGCCACTCATCAGTCGCGCGAGGACCGCTCTTCTTGCTGGGAGGAAAGTGAGAAAATGCGTTTCGACTGCCGCTTTCAGCGAATAGCCCTTCCTCCCCTTACCCCGCGGCCCTCTCCCAAGCTGTGATGAATTAAGAGAAGCATCTGCCCTGACAAGTCTATTCATTCCGTGGGTCACCCCTCTCCGACGCCGAACGCGTCTGAACGCCGCGGAGCTTCGCGCGGCCATTGCGGCGACGCGGGCTCGCCCCGTGATATCACGCGTGGACTGTGGCACACCGACGGTGGCGAACCTTCCCAGGGTGATCGCTACAAATGAACCGCGGTAATTCGCTGATTTCGTCGAGGAGCATAAACCATCATCGTGCGAACTCCGGTCATCCTGGAAGCGGCGGCGGCTTTTGGTTAAACCGTCGAACAAAGACGGTCACCGTGTCGCTCGCTTTCAGATGCGCTTTCTGCGGCCGTCTGGAACGCTCTTCCTTCCGGTATTCGGAAGCCACTGGATCCGTGCACTTTAATATCGTGTAGATTGAAATGTATTTCTGCTTTTGTGTTGAGTTTGTTGTCCTCCGCCCACATATTAGCACGATTAGCACGCTTGGCTACGTACGGTGGTGCGAAAGAAGTTTCAAGTTCCACGTACATAGATCAGCTTCATGTCGCCCCCTCACCCCCTCTTTGTCTTTGCAAGGCCCCCCCCCCCGCGCCCCCACCATGCACCTCGCACTGCCAGAGTCCTCCTCAACATCTACCGCTCAGCACAAGCGATGGGCGCTTGCACCAGCAAGAGATTAAACGTGCGCAGTGCTCGGTTGTGCAAGCGAGCGTGTGCAGGGTGAAATTCAGAGCGACACTTTGAATCACAATGTCAGCATTAGAACGGATACATTCCGTTGCTATTTCTGGCAATCCTCTCTGTTTGTTGTTGTTGTTTTTTTTTTCCCACCCGCAATGTAAACCATGACGGCCGTCGATGGCTTAAAGGTAAATTTCTCAGGAGTGGCAGCGTAGATAAAGTGCCGTCTGGATTCGGGCGGTTAATCTGAGAGAATACTAAACAGGGGGAGGGAGATGGGGGTGAGGGGGGGAGATATCGAGAGGTCTATAATTAATCTCTCTATTAAAACCGAGCATTTTCTCCACGAAATCAAATCAACATTTTGAGCAGATATCCACTTCCCAGGGAGATACTGCATCTCTGCAGGACTCACAGCTGGCTCTAAATATAGGATATTTAATTGACTCGGTGCCATTGATCGTACATTTTAATGTCTTACCTTGTTAATTTTTCACGAAACTAATGAGGACGTGTTTGTGTGTGTGTGTCTGTCAAAATGGGTGCAGCGGTAGCGTAGAGGTTAGTGCTATGCTGCTCTACTCACCCAGCGTCCTCAGTTCAATTCCCGCTTACGGCTAATACCAGTGACGATTATCTGATCCTGCCATGGGCCTCCCCTAGGTCGACTCAGCCTCAAATGAGTACCTAGTGCGATGTGTAAACATTGCAATCGGGAGACAAAGGCGGCCAGGCGAGGTGCTGGCCACCCACCCCCTCGTGTGCCAATCCGGCCTTCATAGGTGCTTGCTAACAGCACTTGTCCCAACAGTCTGTTAAAGTCTAGACGGGGGATCTTTGTCTTTGTTTTTGTATCTGTTAAAATAAGACAATTAAGGCCATGTGGCAGCAGTGGTGCATGGCAAATACATGATATGATGTGCATTTAGGACAATTTGGTTTGGAGGCATTAGCACTACCTTGTAACGGACAAATATTTAAACGGCTTATGTGTTGGGCAATGGCTCTTTTTCACTCTGCAGAGAGTTTTGTCACAAGTACGTGTGGTTAATGCAGATGTTATGCCTTGCAAAAAGGTATCTATTTGGTGTTTGAACATCTTAACACTTGTTTTATTGGCAGAAAGAGCCAAACCTATTCATAATTTCCATCATTAAGGAGCAATGAAATTGGCTCGTGCGCAGGAGCCAGTTGGAGTGTCACCATCGCAAGGCCGTGAGAGATGGTGATGGCTTAAGGAGGAGGCCGTCATTCAACTGCGAACAAATCTTGGCTGTTGACGATGACGACGATGATGATGACATTGATGAATTATGGATATATAAATTGTAATCATTAATTTATTTTTAATTATTTTTCGTTAAACTTGTTAGTCTGAATAAAATAATCGTTTGGCCGTGCCTGCCTTGCAGCCAACACAAGAACATCGTGCATATTCCTTCCACATGTGCTTCTGCTGACTTGTGCCGATTTGCGCTGACTGATGTTGGAGTTCCATTCCTGTGAACGGCACGGGTTATTGCCAGCGAGTAAGAAAACAAGTCACAGATAACAGCCTCTACCGGGGAAAGTTAAACGCGATAATGCACTCCGGATACAATCTGCTACATTTTCTTACGATATTTGATAACGCTGACAGTCCCCCAACAATCGCATACACACACACACTCAGACGTCTCTGAAGAAGATATCAACTCGTGTATTTGTGTTGATCTCATTCCTTTCAATTTCCTATCAAATACTGGGTGCCAGTGTTGGGCGCTAAGGCATAGCCAAACGAAGCAAATGTCAAATTGTCTGAGCTCAAGCTGATACGGGGATTTCACTGGAGTTGTGCACTTTTTAATAAAAATTTAAAACAAAAAATTTTAGACTTGCTTTTCGTGCTTAGTTTGTTGTCATTCCCCCGCCACTTCCGATTAACACGGTTGGCTACATACGGTGCGAAAGAAGTTGAAGATAGATAGATGCAACCCCTATCACTACCATCGAACAAAGATGGTAACTGCATCGCATGCTCACAGACACGCTTCTGCGGCCGTTTGGAACGCTCTTCCTTCAGATATTAGGAAGCCACTGGAGCTATGCAATTTTAAGTCACCTCTATTTAAGACGCATTTCTTTAGAACTTCTTTTTTCTGTTTAAAGACAACCGCAAGGGGTGCTCCAGGTTCATGAAAATATAGAGGCACCAAACATCGTCTCAAGCTCATTGCCTTATAGAAAACAGAAAAGCTCATAGTCCGAATGAGACGAAAATAATGTTCTGATAATAATTGACTCTCTTACCGTAATTACTTAACGCAACTGTGATATAATTGAGCCACGTAGTTTATTCCGCGAATCATGGTCATACTCACCTGTTGTACGGGCTCAGCCACCATCAGAATAAAATAGATTTTTCTCCGCTGTCTCCGGGCATGAGATGAGCACTGCCCCAATGCTCATTTGACTTGTTCAACTTATCTCCACGAGTATCTTAAGCACAAGTGAAAATGCTCTTCTCGTGCTTACGGCCCGAAGTGATGGAAATTCCACATTCCTACTTAACGGGTGGCTTAAGAGGGCAACCACTATTGACTTCCCACGACTTGGTATTCATTGTAATAACCCTGGACAGATGAGGAACGTCAGTCTCCCAGTTGCATCCAGCAGTGCGTCGATTCTCCTCCCCCCCCACCTCCCCCGTGCCATAGCAATGCGAAATTTCTACCTCTGGCTGAAGATCGTAAACAGGAGATGAGCGTCAATATCTCAACGCTCATTTGAGCAGCAAGACACTTTGACTTTTTTGCTTTTGAGTCACATGTCGCACACACACACGCACACACACACACACGCACACACACGCACACACACACACACGCACACACATACACTCCCATTTCTATTTAGCCAAGCGTGGCGTTGTTTCATTCAGACGCTGTCTCCCCGACAGACCTGGTCTTCACCTGAGGACGGCTGCTTGCGTTGTGGCCGAAACGTCGTGAGAATTATTTTATTATGTTTTATTTTTATTATTTTATTACTTCCCTTCTACGTGACTTTACCGAAAGAACCAAGAAGATGACTCCCATTTCTGTTTGGGGTCCTCAGTGGGATGTCACCAGCACCACCACCACCACAGCCCAAACTCACCCCACCTGCCTTCTGCGTAGGTGCCGCTGCAATGGGCAATCAGCAAAGCGTGCCGATTGTGTGTGTTGGTGTTGGTGGTGGCGATTCTAAAGGGGAACTTGCAATGTTGCCGCAAGTAAGTTAAGTACACGCACGCGTTCAGCCCCTTGTTTTTTCCAATCCACTGCTGGATGACGGCTGCCGCAAGCCGTATAGCTCTTTGGGGAGGGGGGGGGCTTTTCGGCCGTACTTCACCATGCCGGTCAGTGCGGGTTTGCGAGGTTCATTGCGAATCACTTCCCCGCCCACCACCAATCATGCTTCATGCAATTTAGAGCTGGCGTACTTCCGATTAGCACGGTTGGTTACGTACGGCGCGAAAGAAGTGCAACGCACACACGTACACCAACGGTTGCGACCAGAGGGGCAGCGTCAGGTTAACTACAACCCGAGGTGGTATATCCAAAGGTACCCCCATCCCATTCTCATTCTATTATATAAATACTGCTGTAGAGAGGGTTGAGGGGGGGGGGGTTTCTGGGAATGTTGCCAGGGTTGGGGAGTGAAGGGGGTGGGAGGGGCGCAACTCTGGAAATGCCACAAGGTGGGCCCTAAAACATTTATTTTGTGTTCCTCCGATATTTTCTGTCCCAGATATCGGCCTCTCGCCCAGCCAGTAACACTGCCACTGTATTCAACTTGGTAACGCAGTGCCGCACGTTACGTCAGAGAGAGAGGGAGTGAGAGGGGACGACTCGGAGAGAGAGGACGACTCGGAGAGAGGACGACTCAGAGAGAGAGGGCGACTCAGAGAGAGAGGGAGGACGACTGGGATTTAAAGGCGACTCAGATGCGCCAAGAGGAGGCACCACAAACGTGCGGGAAGGCAGCAGCAGGAGCAGCCACGCGGTGAGGCTCCAGCGCTTGCAGCGATTGTATTCGTGCTACATCATGCGTTTTGACAGTGAAAGGGAGTCCAATAACAATAGACATTGTTTATTTACACGTTACGCTGTGTGCATTTCTTCGGCGAGGACATCGCATGAATCAACGTTTTCTGGTTATACAACTTCCTTGTTACACAACTTCCTTGTATAACCCGGAGTATTTGTGTTCTTTGGTTTTTTTGTTGTTATTGTGTTTTTTCAAACACCGGAATTTAATTAAATTATCACCGCGGTGTGCGCGTTCCCTCCGCCGAGTCCGCCAAATGTCAACAAAGGCCGGGCGTGGTGTTGGCTACCCACCCCTCGTGTGCCGTGCCGGCCTTTATAGGTGCTCGCTAACAGCACTTGCCCCTACATTCTGTGAAGGCTATACGGGGGATCTTTGTATTTTTTGTATGTATGTTGAATTTCTTTCGCAGACAACTGTGGACACTGACGTAAATAAGGCCAAGATATTTTCTACACTTAAATATTGTGTGGGGGGGGGGGGGGGGGCGGGGAGTGCGGGGGGGGGGGTATTTTAACAATTGGACGTATTGGCGGTGCAGTATGAGGTGCAACATAAGACACCGGTCCTCATGCAGTCTGACGATGTCGCTGTTGGCCTTGTAAGTTTTAGAGGGGCTTGGTTTGGCCCGATTTTTTTTATTTAGTATACATTTATACTTAAAAATTTGATCTGTATTGTATTATGATTGTTATTGAGATAAAAATCGAAATATAATTTTTTGCACTTTTTGTATGCAGCATGGACGGGTTGTGCTTTTTCTGTAGGATTTTATTGTTTACGTATGTGATGTTTAGATTTGTGTACAATTAATTTTAGGTGTATCTTGTATTTTTATTGTTTGTTGCGGTTGAACCCAAATCAAGAGCCAAATGGCTCACAGGGTAAATCCTGATAAATAACAACTTAAAATGAAATGAAACTGAGTGAGCTTCAAGGCTCCCTATCAGAAGTTGCACTGAGATTCAGCAAGCTGCTTTCCCATTCGAACGTGGGACACCACGAGTCGCAAGCCTTTAAGTGCCACCGTCCGCCAAGAAACGGTTCGGGAAACGAATCGAGGAACCGTCCGACCGAGTCTCGGGCACGAGCCAAACCTGCGTTTGAAACACGGAGGCAGACAATCGTCATCGGACTGAGTGCTGCTCTACGGCAACAAGACTGTGAAGCTTCACGTTTAGCCGCTCACGAGGTTCGTCTTCCGACTGCTTCGACATCGCGAGAACTAATTTGGACGCACCACCCCGCAAGATTTCTTACCGGGATTGTGAATCACAGGAAAAATATTTATTACGAAAAAATGTGTGTTTTTTTTTTTTATATGTGTACTGTGCATTGGTGTACGGTTCCGCCGATACGTTGAAATCAGGAAACAATATTCCGCCACAAAACAGCAAACATCTACGCAATATAAACTAAATCATTATTCGACATATTCTTAAAACCGAAGATGATTGCAACAATAAAACACAACATGACCAGACGCGTTCCGAGGAATAGAACGCGTCCGAGAGGTGCGTCCACCGAGGAGACGGAGCGATGGAATCAACTCGTTTGCAGGCGCTCGGTGGATTATCACACCGAGCGATCGTCAGAGCTGGCGACGGCTTGGGGGTGGCCTCCATCCAGCAGTGGATGGATCACGGCGGACAAGAACGGCGACGAACATCCTCGCAGCGGCAGCTTTTGGCTGGCCATCGAACGTGCGGTCACCACGTCGAGCAGCCGTCTGGAACGCTCTTCCTTCCGATATTAGGAAACCGCTGGAGCTATGCACTTTTCAATCTATATTCTAGATTGAAAACTCATTCGTTTAGAACTGTTTTGTGTGTTTAGTTTGTTGTCCTTTCCCCCGCGCCTCCCATTAGCACTGTTGGCTACGTATCGGTTCGCGAAAACAAGTTCAATGTTCGTACGACGCGCACTGGAAACCCGCGCTGATCCGCGTGTACACGAGGTGCGGAGGAAAACACTGCTTCGAGAAATTCGCAGAAACGACACGGCGGGGATTTGTTTGGACGGCCGTAACGGTTGCTCCAGGGGTCCATAGCCTGGGACCGATGGTTGCAGGGGCCCAGGAATAACCAGGCTAAGGTAGCCGCGTAGAGCATTGTGACCGCAACGGGTCCAGCCATGCCCGCGTTGCCCCAGGCAATCGCGGCAGCGTCTTGCTCCGCTTCGACGGGATGATGAGTGTCTTTAATACATCCACTGGACTGCTTCTTAGCTCAAGCCAGGAAGCCTGAAATGAACCTGATAACCTTCCCGTCGCCTAAGAGACTAGGGTCTGGATGCTTGTGCCGAGTAATAATAATAATATAAATTTACAGCCCTTTGTTAAACATTCATCACCCGGCGATGAAATAACCGCGGTTGGAAAAGTCATCTCCTTGGTGATATCTTTCCGTACCTGTAATTGTTTAGATATCACTGCCTTTGTTAATCCGCCTGCTGGATGAAAAATTGCCATTTTCTGTTTTAATTACCCGCGAATGACTCAAATGGGAAACTCTTGGCAAGCATTGCCTAACACCCCCCCCCCTACTCCGAAACTTTGCAGTGCTCCCTCCGAAGTAACAGTTTGAGACTCGTCCATAATAGAAGTTTTTTTGGGTTAGATCGCGTAAACGTAAATGTGTCATTAAACCCGCCACCACCCGACACAGCCAATTTAGTAAGGGTTTACACTATGGGAACCTCATTTGCCAGCAAAAATATGATAATTGGTTTTTTACCCTTCTATCTGGCAACAAAACCTTTTTACAAGGAGTCATGTTTGCATAGATCGCAATACCTGCAGTCATAATACAAACAAAAGAACATAACTCTGATAATGTGCACTGTCCTTGAAAGCTGTCTCGGGTGTGGTCCAATCAACTTCAAGGACAGTGCACATTATCAGAGTTATGTTCTTTTGTTTGTATTATGACTGCAGGTATTGCGGTCTATGCAAACATGACTCCTTGTAAAAAGGTGTCAGTTTTGTTGCCAGATAGAAGGGTAAAAAACCAATTATCTTAGTAAGGGTTATCACGCAAACAGAATACCCCAATTCGTCAATAGTACAGCACACCGGTGTGTTGGAGAGAAAATCCACGACATTTACAATCTGAGTCCGACGTTTCGCCAGCAATTCCAACTAGCCTCATCATCAGGCGACAGCCAGATTCGTGGAGAACTCCTCCTGTTTCGTTCCTTAAATAGAGGGGTAGATGTGATGACGTCACTTGTGAGCACCTTCACGTGCGAAGGGGGGGGGGGTTAATGAATGCATATAAATTACAATGGGTATCCATTGCCGGTTGGGTTATTCATATGGCAATCAACGCACATTATGCATGCACAGTTTGAGACTCAGTGAGGCTCTTTTTTCCCGGGTAAATTAACGTAAAACAACTGCAATGAACGACGCTTCCCCATGCCGTGCCTGTGATTGAGATTTGTCTGACCGCACTTCACCCCGATGGTCGCTTGTGCATTCATGAAGCGTCGTCGAGGACCGGTTCACACGTCACTCCTCGCCACTGATGTTAGCCGTGCCCGGGTACTCAGACTCAGCTCTTATTGTCGGTGTGCTTAACCGCTGCACCACCAATCATAAATTGAAGTCCAGCGAATTAATAATGCACAGCAAATACTGGTTTAAAAATATAAATTCCCCCCCCCCCCCCACCGCGTGAAGCATCTGGACACGCGATTGCATTTAGACACTATTATATAATTGTAAATGATATTGGATTGCATAGGGTTACATGTTAAGCAATGCATCAACCTTATCAGCAATCCCACCAGCTTTACTGGCCTAAGACTCTGAGAGACAGACAGGGTACTGAAGAGCTTCGGAGGGGATTATTCTGACATGTGAAGGACGTCCGCTGAACTTCTGTCTTTCGCGTTCATTGGAAAAACCGTGAAATTGAAACTTAACGTTTCTCTGGCCTCTTGGAAAGTCGGTCAAACCAAAGAGACAGACAGACGTTCCCATGCAAGTCGAAAAGAAAAGGTGGCCTGTTTTTTTTACCAATTCCAGCCTTTCACAACCATTTACACTTTCACCCGTTGTTAAAAGACATTTACGAGATATGATGGCAGGAATGGATCGGCATATTAAGCGCTGGTATCAGATTATTGGACCCGGCGAGGCCCGGGGATGTCGAGTTAAACACTATACCCCCACTCAGGATCAATGCCGTCTGAGCGGGAATTAACTTCAATTTAGCCGGTTGGAAATTCCCGTATTAAATGCAAAGTGGATGCCCCATCCATTCACATTGGGACGATGAATCATGGAAAAATACATCTAACCCTATATTGCATTGCAGCATCTTTGACATTGCGAAGTTTTTTTTTTTGCCAGAGCACAGAGTGTGTAACATTATAATCCATTTTTGGAGATCACAGTATCTGGGGCCTATAACTCAATCAACCAGAATGTGCCCGATCTTGTCAGATATCGGAAGCTAAGCAAGGTTAATCCTGGATAATATTTTTTACGGGCAACTGCATTATATGATAGCTGAAATAAGCTGCGGTGCCACGCAGCGGACGCCAGAGAGCACATCAATACAACCTATCGTTCTACTGTATTTCTATGCTCCTACGTCGGGTCCTACATCAATGTATATGCTCCTGCGCCTACACTGCCCGCCCTTCACTGACTACAATGCTGAGCCTCGATGACCCGCGCTGTAGGGAGGCCGTTATCCAGCAGTGGATTTGTAAATGGCTGTACATGTACATCATATTTCGGGGTTGTATGGTGAGGTTAGCAGACCAGGCATTAGGAGGTCCACTGTCTCTTTCACATGAAGAGGAGGTATTACAGATCCAGCCCGAAATGATTAAACCATTCAATTTACCGTCGTCTCAAAGAGTTGGCAGAATCGCCGAAACACCGCCTTCAAATTTATATTCCGGGCAGTGCCAAGCCAGAGGCCATGTGCACCCCCACCCCC